AAATTCACACTGGGCATGGGTAGGTACGTCCCCAAGATCCCAAGAAGAGAATGAAGAAGAAGGGATTACAGCATGGCCATTCCTTTGGGGGTGATTTCTTACTTTCCTTCTCACCGTCTCTGTCTCTCTGCCCACCCATGGGGGGTATAAATAAAATAAAATAAAATATTAGGGGAAAAATACTTGCTTTTGATGTTTTGGATATGGGTAAAATATTAGAAAGGCCACAGGTAAAAAATGAAAAACGATCCTTGTAGCTAACATTTGTAGAATGCATTATATTTTATAAAACGTGTTCATTTTAATGATCCCATTTGATTGTTACAGCAGCCCTGGAGTACAGCTTTTGCATTATTCACTTGGTGCAGATGTAGAAACAGTGTCATTATTGTTAGTTACTGAAGTTGGCCAACACCAGCACCCACAGGGAGAAGCTTCGAATTCAAGTTGCCTGGCTTTAAATCCTGGATCCTTCCCATTTCACAGCATAGAAGGCTGTCCTGCAAGGATGTTTCGTTGTCAGGAAGTGTTCTCCCAGCCCACTCCCAGGGGACAGCACAGGGAGCCGTGGTGGCCATGACAAGACTGCCCGCGGACGCTGCCCGCACTGACGGTGCTCGCCAGGCGTGCTTCCTGTTCCCCTGGAGACACTGGGCTCTCTGAGCCCAAGGCCTCCCCTCCACCTCCGAGCGGCCACTTCTGCTGACCTCCGCCCATCAGTGACACCATCATTCCCCCAGTGTCAGTCTCCCATTTCAGTGATCTCTGGCTTCTCTTCATTTTACCCCACATCTAGTCATTTTAAGTCATTTTGATTCTTTGTAACAGGCGCACACAGATCAGTCCATGATGCAATTTCACCGCCACCCCGCCCCCTTCGTTCAGACCTGTAATTTCCCGAGCGGCTGGCTGTCAGTCACCCATTTTTAAAATGACCCTGTTCTGGAAGCTTTCTCTGATGCCCTTGGAGCCCAGCTGTGGCGTTCTCACGGTACACGGCACACTGCACATCATGGTACATGGCACACTACACGGTACACGGCACATCACGGCGTATTTACATCGCGTTCCGGGCCCTCCCCAAGAAGAGGACATCATCAACACGCTGTTATCGCCATGATTTAGCACAGTGCTTGGCAACATACTACTGCTCAGTAAAACCTGAATGAGTGCTGTGTGTGCAGAAGACTCGAAGACCTACAAGGCCGCCTTCGAGGCGTACGAAATCTGATCTGTAGAAGCGGGAGGTGGTGCTGGGAGGTGGTCGGGCACTGGTGCAGGATGCCGGGTGGAAGGGGAGGGCAGGTGCCTGCCTGCTGAGCGCGGGCCCTGGGAAAGAGCTGGCGTCAAGGCCGCAGCCACAGCACACCCATCACACTCCTGTCTCTGGCACCTTTTGGCCCACAGGAAAGGTCCTGAGGACTTGGAGGAAGCATGGGAGCCCGGCCCTAGCTGTGGTGAGCACGGTGGGTGCAGGCTCAGGGCCGCCCCAGGGCTTGAGGAGGTGCAGGAAGTCCTAGCAGAACATCTTAGAGGGACATGCCAGGGAGGGGTGGCAGAGTAATCAGAGGACGAGCAGCCCACGATGGCATGGGCCTGCCCAGGGAGAGGCTATCCATTCAGGGTGGAGCCCTGGCACCCCAAGCCCTAGCTTCAGGGGCAGGGCACTCCCAGAATCTCTCTGCCTGGTACCTTTTCTCTTAAATGCTAAGAAGAGACAGAGAAAGAACACCATCTCTCAGCCTGTTCACACCAAATCTCTCCTCCAATTCTCTATTCCTTCAGAATCCTGGCCGTTTCATGGCTGATGGGGCTGGGACTCAGCCCTGTTTGGGACCTGGCTCGTCTACCTGCCATGCTATGGGGCTGGCCCTGCTTGGTGCTGTCTTGCCTGGATGTCAAGGCAGGCAGACACTGTAGGGAAGAGAGAGAGAGAGAGAGAGAGAGAGAGAGAGAGAGAGAGAGAAACCACCCACGATAAGGATGGCCATGCAATCCTCCACTCTCCTTCTTGAAATTTTGGGCAGGCATGCACACACACACCCGGAGTGATTCTCAAGCCTCTAGGTCTGGGACTTGAACCGCTGAGCTGGTCATGTGAGATGCAGTGCCTTTTTTTCCCCCCAGAGGTTTTTGCCATAGGGCACATGCACTCACTGGAGAGAGAGAGACAGTGAGAAGGAAAGTGAGAAATACCGCCCGGGATGGCCATACCACAATCCTTCTTCTCTCTTCTCCTCCTGGGATCTTGGGCATGCATGCATATGTACTTGGCATGAGTTTCAAGCCAGTGAGTCTGGGACTCCAACCGCAGTCAACCATGTGAGTCCAGTGTTGTACTTGCTACGCCATCTGCTGGCCCGGGGATCCAGTGCCTTAACCTCCATGTCACCGGCTGGCCCCAGCCACTTACTTCTAAGAATCCTCCACTTTTATGCCAGCCAATGATGTGGCCATTAAGGTAGCTGGATCTCACGTGGCCGACTATGCTGACCCAATGGCTAGAAAAACACACCCGGGGTGAGTGTGTGCATGCGTGCCTGAAAATCCCAAGAATGGAGGAGAAACAATTGCAGTGTGGCCATCTCCCAGGGAAACTTTCTCACTTTTCTCTCTCTCTCTCTGTCTCTTTCTGGCAAGTGAGCAAATTAAACACGACCTATAGCAATTAAAAAAAAAATCTTCCACGCCCACAAGGATGTGGGTTGTCAAGGCTCTGGCTGTCAGATTCTGTCACTGCTTCACAGAAAGGCTTCACATCCCTGTCTCTCCTGCTCGTGCTTGGAGACACTGCCTGAGTGGCCCTGACTGGTCCTCAGAACCACCCTGCGGACCCAGGGAAATGGGGCTACTACCCACCGCTCCACACCATCGCTGGACTCGGCAGGATCCGGCGCAGAAGGGGAGGCTGTGTAGGCATGGATGCACACACACACACACGTGTGCACACACATGGTAACAGGCCCTAGAGGTCCAAGCCAAGGAGGTCCACATGTCCCCACCCCGGCTTCCCACAGCCACACCACGCTGCACTCAGTGCTTGCTTTGACGCTTTCGAGACCCTTTTCCTCACATAAGTGTTCTCTTGACATCATTTCTACCTGATTTCAATGACATGAAACCAGAGGGAGTCATGTGATCTATTCGGGGTTCATTCTCCAGGACTCTGGGCCCAGCATCACGCTAGGATGACCCTCAGCTCGGTCACTCTTGCATAATTTGTTCAACATGTGAATTGAGAACCTTTTATGTGCCGACTTCCAGGGGCCGGTACTGAGCAGGAGACTGTGGTTCTTGGTTCC